CTCCAAAGTAGGAAAGTCTGCCATACTTGAGCCAGCATAGCTCTTACCATCAGGAAGTTCTTCCTAATGTTTTGTATGAATATCTCTGCACAAGATGCAAAGCCAACCTTAAGAAATGAGGCCACAAAGTGGAGTCCATGACATGCAAGTGTGGAGAAGAGCAAACCACAGACCACCAACAGCAATGCAGCCTGAGCCCTGCCACATACACAATGGAGGACCTTCTTATATCTACACCAGAGACACTCCAAGTGGCAACTACTGGTCAAAGGACATTTAGTATAATGCCAAGTTTTTAAAACTTTCTTTATGCTTTTAAATACATTACAACTGTGCCCTCTGTTTGCTTCTGACACGATAAATAAGTCAGAATATGTTATGCTGCAATTTCAATTCACTTCTCTGTTTCCTATTCTTTAGAGCAGTTTCCAAACCTTTGATAGTTTTGGTCACCTTTCTCTGAACACGAACCACCTTGTCCTTCTTGGGGTTCACCAGGGGATGTCTGACTAAAGCAAAACAGAGTGGGATTATGACTTCCCTTTCGACACTATGCTCCTACTGATGCAGCCTAGAATCAGTTTTTTTAGCTGCTGCATTACACTGTTGAGAACAGGCAAAATTAAACCAAAAGGACTAATAATAATAATAATAATAATAATAATAATAATAATAATAAGGTAAGGTAAAGGTTCTCCCCTGACATTAAGTCCAGATGTGTCAGACTCTGGGGGAGTTGCTCATCTCCATTTTTAAGCTGAAGAGCCGGCGTTGTGCATAGACACCTCCAAGGTTATGTGGCCAGCATGACTGCATGGATCATTGTTACCTTCCTGCTCAAGCGGTTATTGATCTACTCACATTTGCATGTTTTAAAACTGCTAGGTTGGCAGAAGCTGGGCCTAACAGTGGGAGCTTCCACTGCTCCCCGGATTCGAACCACCAACTTTTTAGTCAACAGGTTCAGCAGCTCAGTGGTTTAACCCACTGCGCCACCGGGGGCTCCAATAATAACAACAACTTTATTTTTGTACCCTGCCTCCATCTCCCCAAAGGGACTCAGGGCAGCTGACATATGGCACAATGTGCCTAAAACAACACATAAAATAAACACACAATACAAGATAAAACCAATAGCCTATAAAACAAAGTTTAAGCTCCTCTTTGAATAGATGGAAGTTCTATTTTTTTTAACTATTCCCCAACCTACCCCCCCTTCTCCTCCCCCAGTACCCCCTCTCCCCCCCCCCCACCTCTCCCATATGCACCCCCTTCCTACTCCCCTCCACTCCCCCCGGGAGACGTAGCAACTACAGGCATTTCCTGTATTTTTCTTACTATACTATCTCTTACATATTGTTCTCCCACTTTCCATGTATTTATATATAACTTTAATAAAATTTATAATAAAAAAAAAACAAAGTTTAAGTTCAAAACAGCGCCCAATAACCTATGACGAGAACTGACTTAAACATAGTAGCCAACTGCAAACAGGAGGAGGGAATAGGGTAGTGAAAGTTTTCGCTCATGAAGCAGGGTGTGGGACGAAAGTGCAGTTCTGTGGCCTTAATTGCAGACCAATAGGACCAGACATTCTCAAAGGCATGTCCAAAAAATCCAAGTCTTCAATTCCTTCCAGAAGGAACCCTACCTCCATATGTGGTTGTCCCATTTTAAGTTCAAATCCCAGCAGATTTTGAGAACTTGGAACCTTCTCTCTCTGCTCACCTTCACCTCAAACCCTAGCATCCCCAGCCACATTTAACACCCCCCCCCCCCAATAGATTGCCCTTCAAAATCCATTAAACTGTTCCCAAGCTGTCAGTAGTACAGCTTGGACCTTTGTGTCTTATATTCCAAATACACAGAGAATGCCAATGATGATGGCACAAGAAGCAAACTCCCCTGTCTCTGTGATCATGCACCTTGCAAAGCTTGGCCAAGATCCCCTTCAGAGAGTCAAGTACCAAAATAAGGAACTCGCCCAGGCTCTGTAGGATAGTGCTAGGGTTTTAGCTTAACATAGGACATTGCACAGACAGAGCTGGGGTTTCTTTTGTGTTGATTAGGATCGAGAAACTCTTTGGCTCTGATTCTCACCTATCAAATGTGTGGAAGATATTGGACCTCATCACACTAGAGCATGGATCCACTTGAAATCCAGTTTCTGCCTCCTGCAGAATTCTGGGGCTTGTAGTTTAGGGACAGGCCTTTAGACTGCTTAACCAGGCAGGTTCTGGGCCTCACTAAACTATAAATCCCATAACTCTTCAGGAGGCAGAAACCAGATTTAAAGTGGATCTATGCTCTAGTATGATGAGGTTAATGGTCACAAGGTGAGCCACATTAGTTCTCCACTACAAAAAGGAAGTAGAGCTGAAGCAGAGTCTCCCTTATCCCAAAACAGAGGTGTTTAGAATTCCTACCCCAGATTTTGGAATATTTGTCTATACAACAAAAGCAATGTATTGACCCAAGGTAGACCTGTGACTCTAACATTTGCATTCCCTCCCTCCTGTTAAGATTTTGAACATCTTTCTCTGTTGAAGAAGCCAGTGGAGCTTGGAAAATCATGTATTTATGCATTTTTGGTTGGCTTATTCAAAGTATTAGTTCTGTGGATTTTGGATGTTATGATATTTTTGCTGTATTGCCAACATATCTACACAAATGTTTCCTGCATATACATCGTTCTTTTGAAGATGGGACCCAAGACTAAGAATGAAATTCATTTATATTTCATATACAACTTATATATGTACTCTGAATGTAATTTTGTTTACATGATTCTAAATAATTTTGTGCATGAAACCATGTTGGATGTGCAAAGCAAAGGTGTCACTATCTCAGCCACCCAGTTGGATGATTTTGGATTTCCAAATAAGGGATAAGTACACACAGGTATCTAACCCAGGGATGGGCAAACTTTGCCCCTCCGGGTGTTTTGGACTTCAACTCGGGCTGTTAGGAATTGTGGGAGTTGAAGTCCAAAACACCTGCAGGGGCAAAATTCACCCATGCCTGATCTAACTAGTATTGAGAGCCCCCCAAAACAATTGTCCTGGGTCCAAAAAGAACCAACTTTTGTGCCACCTTCTCCTCTTTCCTCCCTTTTGACCAAAGGCCCACCATAGTGGGAAACCCCTTGCTACTTCAATCCAACTCAGTGCAATGTGATTTGCATTGTCCTTAGGGCTACAATCCTAAACAGCACTGAACTGTTGATACTCACAAGCCTATGCAATTCAGACCTGGGGACACACTAACATGTGTCCCCAGCCATTCAAACTTCCATGTTCCAGGCTGCATTGTTGTCATTGTGTGCTTTCAAGTAATTTCTGGCTTATGGCGACCCTAAGACGAACCTATAACAGGTTTTCTTGGCAAGGTTTATCCAGAAGAGGTTTGACGCAAGTTGCCTTCCTCTGAGGTTGAGTGAAAATGCACTGGGGGCCCTTCCACACAGCCCTATATCCCAGAATATCAAGGCAGGAAATCCCACATTATCTGAGTGAGGACTCAGATAATCCAGTTCAAAGCAGATATTGTGGGGTTTTCTGCCTTGATATTCTGGGATATAGGGAAACCCACCCAAGCTTTCCCAGTGCATTTTCATGGCTGAGCAGGGTTTTGAACCCTGGTCTTCAGCGCCATCATCCAGTACTCAAAAATGCTATTGCCAAACTGGCTGGCTCCTCCTAAATCTGAACCACATCATCTTTAAAAGTGCAGGAGGAAGACACTTAGGAATTCTGGGAGTTGGAGTCCAAAACACCTTGAGGACCAAAGTTTGATCTAACCAGTAATGAGGGCCCCCCAATACTGGATAACAGTACTGGACCCAGGACAACAATTAAGTCCTGGGTCTAAAAAAACCCCAACTTTTGGGCCGGATTCCCCTCTTTCTTCCCTTTTTACCAAAGGCCCACCATAATGGGAAACCCCCTGCCACTTCAATCCAACTCAATGCAACGTGATTTACATTGTCCTTGGAGTCACAGTCCTAAGCAGAACTCAACTACTGATGCTCACAAGCCTATGCAATTCAGACCTATCCCTGCTCTACAAGGATGCCATGTAAAAGGGTCCATGTAAACAACACTTTACAACAGACACTTTAACTGCCATGGCTCACTGCTACGAATCTGTGGGTTTATAAGGTCTTTAACCTGCTCTGCCAAAGAATGTATCTCCTGTTACGAACCATCACAATTGTCAGCTCTTGATCCCACCACTTTTGCAAACACGGTTGGTGGGAACGAGAGACAGGGCCTTCTTGGCAGTGGCTCCCCAGGTCTGTGGAGCTCTCTCCCTAAGGACATTAGGTTGGCCACTTCCCCCCTGTCCTTTAGAAGACAATTGAAGACTTGGCTTTGGGAGCAGGCATTCAATGAGTGGACAGCGGCAATTGGAAAGAAAACTTCAGATATATGCGACATAGGATTCACCCTGACTTGGATTTGGTTTTTATTTGGCATGTTTAATTTATTATTTAATGAATTGTATGATGTGTTTGTAATGATTTTTAATGTTTTAAATGTAATTTTTGATTGTTTATATTCTGACAGCATCATATGATGCTTTTGTGAGGCCGCACTGAGTCCCCCTTCAGGGAAAGAAGGGTGGGGTAGAAATGCATGAAATAAATAAAGGAAATAAATAAAGTACAACTCCCAAAACTCCAGAGCAGTTCAAGTGGCGTCAAACTGCATTCATTCCACAGTGAAGATGCACCCTGAGCTGAACCTTGGATGCGTCCATAAAGAAAGGCAGAGCGAGGCTGCAAAACAGCGCCACCTGCTGTCCGTCTCAAGACCTGCAAGGCTGAAGCCGCGATGTATCAAAGGCGAGAACTCCATCTATCTATACCAGGAATGGGCAAACTTCAGCCCTCCAGGTGTTTTGGACTTCAACTCCCACAATTCCAGACAAGCCTCAGGCCCCTTCCTTTCCCCGGTCTTCCCAATTTAACGTGTTTACAGCAAAGCCTTTGGGCTCACCTTTGGTCAGGAGGATGGCCATGGCGCACAGCTCCAGTTGCAGCCACACGAAGATGAAGCTGGAGTGGCGATCCATTTAACCCTTCAGGCGACTTGGACTGCAACTCCTATCATCCCCAGCTAAGGACGGGTCCCTCTCCGGCAGGCCCCCAGCTTCGGGAAGCGGCTCCCTTCCGCGAATCAAGCCCAAGACGGAAAGAAAGCTCCCTTTCCCACCAAGAACTCCGCTCTCAATCCCTCCTGGGTCTGACTCACTACATAAAGTCGCCTCCGCCCCGCCCACCGCCTCCCTCATTGGCGGATCCGGTGTGTCACTCAAGTCCCTGGGAGGTGGCCACAAAGGGGAGCGTCCCATCACTTTCCCCCTTTGCAGTTGCAATTAGTCCTTCAGTTTGCGGGGAAAGGAGACACCGTCGCTCGTGGGTTTTCCTCCCGCTTTCCTCTCTCTCTCTCTTCCCGCTTTACTACAGAATTAATGCATCTTCACGCCGCTTTTGATTGCTTCAATGCTATGGAAACGTGGGAGCTGTAGTTTTGCAAAGGTCTTTACTCTCTTCTGTGTTCGGGTCGGACCAAACTGCAACACCATTGAGCCCGGGCAGTTCAAGTGGTGTCAAACTGCATCAGTCCCACGGTGTAGATCAGGCCTGGGCAGACTTGGGCCCTCCCTCCCAGGTGTTTTGGACTCCAAATCCCATCATTCCTAACAGCCTCAGGCCCCTTCCTTTCTCTCCCTCCCCCCCCCCCCCCCCCCCCCCGATGATGGGGAAAGGAAGGGGCCCGAGGCTGTTAGGAATTATGGGAGTTGGAGTCCAAAACACCTGGAGGGCCCAAGTTTGCCCAGGCATGATATAGATGCTTCTAAAGAAGGCCCCTTCATAGTTCACCAGAACAAGCCACACCTTTACTCTGGCTTCCTTCCATCCTTCTTACCTTCCCTACTTACCTACCTTCTTTTCCTTCCTTCCTTCCTTCCTTCCTTCCTTCCTTCCTTCCTTCCTTCCTTCCTTCCTTCCCACCCTCCTCCTTCCTTTCTTCCTGTCTGCCAACATACCTGCTTCCCTCTTCCTTCCTTCTTGTCTTTCCTTCCTTCTCTTTTCTTTCTTTATTTCCTTCTCTTCCTTCTTTTTTACCTACTTAACTTCCCGCCCACCTTCTTTCTCCCTTTCCTTCCTTCCATCTTTTCTTCTTCCATCCTTCCTTCCTACCTATCTTTCCTTCTTCTCTCCCACCTGATTCCCTCTTCCTTACTTCCTACCTCTTTCCTTCTTTCCGTCCTATCTTTCATTCCTTCTTTTTTTTTTCTTTCCTTACTTCCTTCTTTCTCATCCTTCTTTCCTATCTACCTACCCTTCCTTACCTCCCTCCTCACTACCTTCTTCCTTTCTTCTTTCCATGATTCCTTCTTTCTTCCTTCCTACCCACCTATCTTTCCTTCCTTCCTCTCTCCCACCTGATTCCCTCTTTCTTTCTTACTTCCTACCTATCTACCTACCTACCTATCTTTCCTTCTTTCCGTCCAGTCTTTTATTCCTTCCTTTTTTCTTTCCTTCCTTCTTTCCCTTCCTTCTTTCCTATCTACCTACCATTCCTTATCACCCTCCTCACTACCTTCTTCCTTCCTTCCTTCTTTCCATAATTCTTCCTTCCTTCCTATCTTTTCTTCTTTCGATCCTATCTTTCACCCCTTCTTTATTTTCTTTCCTTACTTCCTTCTTTCCCTTCTTTTTTTGCTACCTACCTACCTACCTTCCCTTCTTTTTTTGCTACCTACCTACCTTCCCTTCCTTATCTCCTCCTGCCTGCCTTATTTCTTTTCTTTCTTCCTTGCTTCTTTCTTCCTACTTTCCCTCTCTCCTATCCTTCCTTCCTTACTTTGCTTCCTTCCTTCTTTCCTGTCCTTTTTGCTACCTAACTACCTTCTCTTCCTTACCTCTCTCCTCCCTGGCTTCTTTCTTTCTTCTTTCTTTCCATGCTTCCTTTCTTCCTACCTACCTACCTACCTACCTATCTTTCCTTCCTTCCTTCCTTCTTTCTTTCACGTCTTTCCACAGTTTGTGACATTACTAGTCTAGGTTTACTGAGAAAACAAAACAGATAGGTAGTCTTGCAGTATCTGCTTCTATAGGTGAGCTAGATTTCTTGTTTGGTACCTTAGTGCCACCGCAAATTGATTTCTTTGGGAAATCTTTCTCTCTCACCTGTAGTTATTGTAGGCATCCTTACTCCAAAGCAAATGGCATAATATTCAATAGGACTCACTCTTGGAAAGAGTGTATAGGCTACAGCCTTAGAGGATGTCTGTATTGTAGAATTAATGCAGTTCGACACAACTTTAACTGCCATGGCTTAATTGTGAGAGTTGTAGTGCTTCAAGGTCTTTAGCCTTCTCTTCTAAAGAGTGCTGGTGCCTCACCAAAGTACAACTCCATAGCAGTGAGCCATGGCAGTTAATGAGGTGTCAAACTGCACTAATGCTACAGTGCAGCTGGATGTCTAGATGACCAGATGGTCACATTGCAATGTGGCATAAGGTGGTAGAGTGCTTCCTCCCAGCTCTTTGTCTCAGTTCATGGCAAACCATTCGTAGACTCGGACTAGTACCATATGCTCCCTTGTTCAGAATTTTTTGTTCTGTTGCAATGTTAGCGTCAAACAAAGCATTGGTAGCAAACCATAAGGACCATGCAGTGCTTGAAGGAGCTGAATAGAATAAAACCTCTATCTTATTTATGGAAAAATTGCAAAAAAAAATGGAAATTTATTTAGAAAATAAACCCAATTCTCGCGTATTACTGTCATGCACATATGTGCATAACTCAACACTCTTTGGCTTAGAGTGTATCTACACTGTAGTGTTAATGCAGTTTGACACCACTTTAATTGCTATGACTTTTGGCTTTGGAGTACTAGGAGTTGTACTTTGGTGGTCACCAACACTCTTTGGCGGAGGAGGCTAAAAAGCTTGTAATTATATTGACATTTAATATTTATATTGTGCTGTCCTAATATTATAATACATTGTATACACATAATACAATATAATAATTATACATTTTATATTACATGTAATATTACTAATAATATTACAGTATAGTGATATAGTGCAGAATGGTAATATATAATACTAATATTGTGCTGTGCTAATAATATAATATATTGTATACACATGTAATATTGATAATATTGTAATGTAATACAATATAATACTAATAATAATACAATATAATAATTTATATTTCATATTATATGTAATATTACTAATAATATTCCAGTATAGTGGTATAGTACAATATAGTAATTTATAATACTACCATTGTGCTGTGCTAGTAAAATAATATATTGTATACACATATAATATTGATAATATTGTAATGTAATACAACATAATACTAATTTTTTTTGTCGTGTCAGGAGCGACTTGAGAAACTGCAAGTTGCTTCTGGTGTGAGAGAATTGGCCGTCTGCAAGGACGTTGCCCAAGGGACGCCCAGATGATTTGATGTTTTTATCATCCTTGTGGGAGGCTTCTCTCATGTCCCCGCATGAGGAGCTGGAGCTGATAGAGGGAGCTCATCCGCCTCTCCCCGGATTCCAACCTGCTACCTGTCGGTCTTCAGTCCTGCCGGCACAGGGGTTTAACCCACCGGAGGCTCCAATATAATACTAATAATAAAATATAATAATTTTATATTTCATATTACATTTAATATTACTAATAATATTAAAGTATATGGTACAGTACAATATAGTAATATATAATACTAATATTGTGCTGTGCTAGTAATAGAATATATTGTATACACATATAATATTGATAATATTGTAATGTAATACAATATAATACTAATAATAATACAATATAATAATTTTATATTTCATATTACAGGTAATATTACTAATCATATTTAATATTTAATATTTTATTAATATTTTTAAAAAACCACGAAACAGCAAATCCACTAAAAGCGAACCGCGAAGTAGCGAGGGAACACTGTACAGGCACTTCAAAGACTATTAAGTATGAGCACACATACCCGGCATTACTTGGATTTGCAAGTTCAGTATAGTGGTATAGTACAATATAGTAATATGTAATACTAATATTGTGCTATGCTAATATTATAATATATTGTATGTACATATAACTTGTAAGCTGCTCTGAGTCCCTTTCAGGGTGAGAGGGATGACATATAAATGTCACAAATAAATAAATGAAACGTAAATAAATCTGCAGCTCCCATTGCTCCATACTACTCAGCCATGGCAGGTCAAGTGGTGTCAAACTGAATTAATTCTACAGTGCAGATGCAGCTTTAAAGACATTTAAATCCTTTCTGCTGCCGAGGCACAGTGGGGTACCTGCGCGTGATACAAAGCAAGCAATGGGCAGAAACTGCTTACAGGAAAGGAAGAAAGCCAGCAGAAAGTAATGCTAGCATAAAACAGCCTTAATGACATGTTCTGTGTCCCAAAGGAATGCAAGATAATAAAAGCCAAGGAAGCAGCAAGCAGAGAGGCCTGAGGCATCGTGATGTGTCTGTTACAACTGTTAAGAGAGCAGCCTGGAGTCTTAACTTGTAATGACTATGTAGCTGACTCAGAAGACATCCAGAGGCTTGTCACACACAAACATTTCTTCCTTCTTCTTTCCCACCAACAAACCCAGTTTCAAAGCAACAGCCCGGAGTGGAATGCTGCAGAAACTTGGAGCGCGGGTTTTTCAAGGGGAGCCGGCAGCAAGCCTCCAGGAAAGCAGAAAGGTTGTGTGACCCCCTGGATCAGCCCTGAACTCAGAGCAAGAATGTGGTCTGGAATACCTGTGTTTGCTAGCGTAGTAGCAGTGCTAGGCTAAATAAAAGATGGGGCTCCTGTATCTTTAATAGCTGTGTAGAAGACAGACTTTCGATAGGTGTTGATTGTCACACAAGCAGTAACTGCTGAAATGCAATAATAATAATAATAATAATAATAATAATAATAATAATACTTTATTTGTACCCCACTACCATCTCCCCAAGGGACTCGGTGCGGCTTACATGAGGCCGAGCCCACAATACAACAAAAACAATAGCAATAGTAATACAAACAAGAAATAAACTCATAAACAGAAAGTAGCAATAAACATTAACAATAACACGGCGATGTTTAAAAACCTATGGCAGGGCCAATGTACTAATTAAAATTTTAAAAATTAATGCTGGGCATGACCAGGTGACATATAAACAGGATTGAA